AAGGATTTGTTTTGCAGAGGATAAGTTAGGATTTACAGTATTGATAAATCACTTTAATTAGTAATTAATTTTTATTTTTATCAATGAAAATATTCCTATGAATTCTTAATTATATCTCAATCAATCTTACATGTAAAGGGTTGATTATGAATGAAAAATAAGAATTTCAAAAGAAGGAAGATGATTTTTGGAGAGGAAACTAAAAAAAAAAATGAAGAATTTAGGGTTCACATACACCTAACTTATATTTGCTACATTTCAAAATGTGGGTTCCATCAATTAGGGTTTCTTTTTTTTTTTTTTTTTTTTTTGCACAGGAAGAGTGATTTGGAGGGATGTTATTAAGTCCATATAAGCACCTTTACATGCTGGAATATCAATGTCAAATGTTCCCATTAAAATAACGTACCATGTGAATAAAAATTAACGGAGGAACTAAAAATGAGTTGAATTTCAAACTTTAAAGACAAAAAAGGGATTTTTTCAGTATAGGAACAAGAAAATAGATTTTTTCAGTATAGGAACTAAAAATGGGTTTTTCTCAATAGTAGAGGAACAAAAAAAGGTATTTAACCAAAACTAAAATATCTTATTTTTATACAATGCAGTGAAGCCTATGTTGCTGCCGTGAAGATCAAAGGCCTATTTGCTAGATTGTTGATGTGAATTGATTTAGGTTTTAAGATTTTTAAAATTAAATTAATTTAATTGATTATTAAAATTTTCAAATTTATTAAATTTATTATTATATTATAATCAAATTAATCCAACTAAGATTAGATTGGTATAATTCGGTTAGAATAGGCAGTTTTTAATACTATTTTTAATATATTTGATTAAGTAAAAAAATTTTACATCAAATTACAAAAAATATAATTATAAAACATAATAATATCATAAATAACAGTGATAATTAGTACAATTAATATTATAGTAAAATAATTATGAAAATATTTGTTGATGGATGTTTTTGTAAAAGGTCAAACTTGGACTTGGATAGTTTCTATGTCACCAAGACCTGCCTTAATCTAAGCACCTATTAATGCCTTCAACATGCAACACATGGCTAGGGCCAGCACTATCTGATGTTACAGTATATGACTACACCACCAGAAATACAAAAGAAATCCCAACAGTATCTAATGCTGCAGTACATAGTTGCATCGCTAGAAATGCAAAAGAAATCCCAACAATATCTAATGTTGCAATACATAGCTGCATCACTAGAAATATATAAGGAAGTCTCTTTCCTTTATTATTTCCTTATCTATTAAATTTCATCATTTTCATCAATTGATCACTATTCCTTTATGCAGGTCATCAATAAACCCATGAATCCAAACTCATGGGGATATTCAGGATAAACTATGAGAGTAGTGGCTTGGTAGGCATGGATGGATGAGCGTTGCCTATCTAGTGAAGCGAGATATTCACGCCAACGAAGCTTGGGGCTGGCGATGTTGCCCAACTTCACCAAAAAGTGCTAGGTCGCAAAGACGTGGATGCAGACTTGATCTCCAAAACTATACTATTTGATGCTAACTAGAAGCTTGGAATCTAGTTCAAAACCAACCAAAAATGTTGTTTTGGTCACCATCAACAACTTTCAGCCATATTCAATGCAAAGGTGATTGCATAGTGTTGAAAACTACCGAAAAGGGTGGCTACACAAGTTCCCTAGCTTTGGGAACTATTGAAAAAGATTTGACTTCGTTGGGAAAATCTACCAAAATCTTGGGCAAACCTTGAAAATATACCAATATCTTGGGCAGCCCTCAAGAATGTTCCAAAATCTTGGACAAACTTGATTTTGCCAGCTGCATGCAAGCACCTCCCCAAAAATGGAATTTCATATGGCTAGAGGAATTCCTAGAAATAGGTAGTTTCTAGTCCATCGTTGGAACCAACGAAGCTTCGCCAAAACCACTGGATAATTCATAATATCACTGCCAAAGGGCTGTCAGCCATGCCCAGAACTACTCAAAACTTGACAACTCACCCAAATCTACCCATTCGGCCACTATGCTCATCTGACCCATCAACCCAAAAATTACAAAAATGCCACTACACATATATATATTATTTTCCCTTCATTTTTCAGCAGAAGAGACTAAATTTTTCACAACTTCAGCTTCCCTCTCATGTACAGACCTCCTTTCTTCCTTTGAAAAATACTTCATCCTCACCCACTCACTCTACACATTGAAATTACCTAGAAATCACCATTTTCTTCATATTTTCTACACTTCCAACACTGCTGAACAATTTCCAGACTTGCAGAACATCATGACTGGGAGACAGCATACTACAAAATCATTCTCTGGGTTATCTTCATGAGTATCAAAGGTTCAAGCTAAAGAGTTAGCATAAAAAAGGGGATCAAGCCCTTCACCCACAAGACCCCCAAACGGCCATCCTTCCTTCTCCCATCAATACTTTCAAGTTTATTCCTTTTGTCTTGTTAAAGCTTGAGACAGACCATTGTGCCTTTTATTTACAATGTAAGGGTTGCTTATTATAGACTAGAAGTATTTGTCAAGAATAATAGAGGGCACATTCATTATCTTTGCTATTGTGATACAATACACTATTTAAAAATGTGCTTCTCAAGTTGGAATTTTTTACCGTTACATATTTTCTATCCTTTTTGCTCCTACAGTATTGTACAGTTCATTTTCATTATTTTTGTTTGTTGTGTAATCATTCTTATTATCCTGTGAGCACCATCATCACTCCACTCTTTCTAGCTTGGCTAGGGACATTCTATTTCTGGTCTTCATTGGAGAAGCTCTATTTCCAAACATCACTGGAGAAACTCTGCTCTTGGACTTCGCTGAAGAGACTCTATTTCTAGACTTCGTTGGAGAAACTTTACTTTTAGACTTTGTTGGAGAATTTTCTGTTGACTAACATCGTTGGACATCTTGGAACCCTGTCGTCGTTGCCAGCTCTCCTTCTCGGCTTGGCTAGAAAACTTACACATTCAGACTTTGTTGGAGAATTTGCTGCTGACCAACATCACTTGGCAAAACAAGATGGCACGTGGCACGTAGCCTTTCGCAAGTGAAACGGGTGCTGCCAAAAGAACCCTCCTCATCATTCATGGGTGGCATTCTAGTCAGCCTCCACATCATCACCACTGTTGACTCATCAGCCTACATCACGAGCACACCCCCCAACAAAATGGTGACTCCATTGGGCAGGTCATCTTAAAGCTTCGTCTTATTCTACTCTTTTTCAGTGGTATAATGTCTTTAATATTCTTTCTCAGCAATATTTATTCATCTTCAACAAAATTTTTCTGACCATGCCTATCACGAGAGCAACTTCATCTCACATTATTGGTGAAAATTAAGAGCTTGGCCCAGATGATGGACGTGAAGTTCAACAACCATGTCCATCAACACACATTTTTTATGATGTTTTGCGAGGAATCATTGATCCTAATCTCGAACCTTTGGTTTAGGTTAGTCGGGTCTTGTACAAGGGTCAGCAAAGAACTACTCAACTTCTTACCACCTTGCAACATGCTGTGCAAGATCCAACGCAACCAGTCAACATGGCTAGGACGTCCCAGCCACAAGAGGTCCAAACTAAGGCTACCAATAACACTGGGGGCCCTACTGCGTGACCCAATAACACAACACCACTAGCAATCGCAATCACCAACATCAACAGAGCTCCACCTAACGAAACCAATTCCACTCAAGGCTTCGTCACCATGGCAGATCTTACTGCTCTCTTAGACAGGGAGCATTCTAGACAAAGTTCAGCCACTTTTCAGTTCATCCATGATCCACCATACCCGAAGGATATTCTGTCTAAGCCCTACCCAAAGAACTATGAAAGGCCTACATTCTCGCAATATGATGGGAGAAAGGGCAACGGTGTAGAGCATGTTAACAAGTTCCTCGATGCCCTTGGGGCTCACGTTGGCGATGCCTACATGAGTTTTCTAAATCTCTCTCCGATAGAGCTTACACTTGGTATACTACTTTGCTCCCCGGTTCTATTCACTCTTGGGATGAAATGGTTGAGCAATTTTGTCAAAAATATTTTCAAAGTGGGGAGCGCATCACCATCCTTAATCTCTACAGAACTCACCAACATGTAGGCGAAGATTTGATGGTTTATGTGAAAAGATTTAGAGATTTGGCACTTGATTGTTATGGTAGCCATGCTAAATCTTTCTTGGTGGAGATCTGCATCAACAATATGTTCCCAAAATATCGTGCTGTCCTTGAAAATATTGGGATTAGTCAGTTTGCAAGGCTACTCAATGCTGCTAAGAGAACAACCATTTCTATCAAAGCTATCTTTGTTAGGAGTCTGTAGCAAAGTCAACAGAAAAGAAAGCCACTGCTCACACCTCAACTATCCATGCAAAGTGAAGCAAAATGTCTAGCTTTTGAAGCCAAGAATGAAATATCCTATAAGCACTTTATGTCTCCTAGCGAAGTCGATTATCTTACACCACCAAACAAGCTTGCTTATCATTTTGCTTCATCGACATTATAGTCTCATGGCTTCAAACCAACCAGCAGTAGCATTTGAATCTTTTAGATTTGCTTATACATCAAATGCGTTGCTAGCACTTGAGTCACATCATTGCCAACCTATCAGACATGTTACTTCTTTTACATTGCCAGCATTAGTGCCTTTTTGAGGTCTGCTAGCGGTGTTATCTTCCATGGCCAGTATTCGTACCTCTTCAAGGCCTATTAGTAATGTTATCTTTCATGGCCAACATTAGTGCCTTTTTGAGTTTTGTTGGCAGTATTATCTTTCATGACCAGTATTTGTGCCTCTATATGGCTTGCTAGCAATATCATCTTGTACGGCCAGCATTGATGCCTCTTCATGGTTTGCTGGCAATGCATCTTCAAAGGTCTGCTAGCAGTATTATCTTTCTTGCCCAGTATTGCTGCATCTTCAAAGCTGCTGGTGATGCATCTTCAAGGTATACTAACAGTATTATCTTTCTTGGCAAATATTGCTACATCTTCAAAGCCTTCTAGCGATGTATCTTCAAGGTCTACTAGCAGTATTATCTTTCTTGGCCAGTATTACTGCATCTTCAAAGCCTGCTGGCGATGTTATCTTTCATGGCTAATATTGGTGCCTCTCCAAGACTTGCTAATACTGTTATTTTTCATGGCCAATATTTCAGCCATCTTTGGTCTACCGACAGCATTCTTATCTCTCATGGCTAGTATTTGTGTCACATCAAGACCAACCAGTGATGTGGCTCGATCATCTCTTGGGTAGCATTTGTTTCACAATAAACTTGTTATATGATGATGGTTCCTCTCCCATGATCAGCACTTACGTCATCCTTGACTTGCTAATGGTGTGTTCTCCTATGGCTAGTATTTTTTGCTAACGATATCCTTACACTTGACGAGTACTTGTGCTACTTTGACAAAATGCATTAACATTGTGAGATCATCGCCAAATGAGCATGGCTGCTCATAGAACAGATGGACCAGGCTCATAACCATAATTATTGGCTGTTTCAACACAATTCTGATGAAGTGGGTGACTTCACTGGGTAACTTCACTAGGCGACTTCACTGGAACCTAGGCACTCCTTCTCTTAGCTGAGTAATTTCAGATGTGCCTCAACTGATTTCAATGTCGCCTCCAACTTAAGCATCAACTCTTTCATATCAGCCAAGGATTTTTGCACATTTTCAACATGCTTTGCTGCCTTGTCAATCTGCTCATCACAGTTGCCAACCATGCCGCTCCCAGCCATGTCGAACTTGCCTTTGTCAAGCAAAGGGAGTTACTTTCATATGCCTTACAATCGCGCAAAGATTTATGAAGGCATTCTCAATCATTACTTTCTTAGCCTTGTTGCCTATGTCGTCTCTATCACTCAACTTGGCTAGAACTGAAAAGCATGTGTTCCCAGACACGATTTTTCCAAAGCTAATGATCTTCTTCACTATGCGCATGGCTGGTTCATCAACATTTATCTCATCTTCGCTAGGAATGGATTCTTTTAAAGTTGTAGCCAAGTATGGCATGCCTTTCTCTGGCATAGCTTTTTATGCCAACTTCGACATCAGGTATGCCATCATCTTCATCTTCACTCTCATGGTTGGATTTATGGTTACCTCTTGATGCTTCATCATTCTTGGTGGATTTCACGCCACTGTCTTCGTTGGATTTTGGATTAGGCCTCTGCAGCAGCTTTCTTGCCTTTATCTTCGTTAGCAGCTACTTGAATCCCAACCATATCACCCTCAACATCTGGCAAAGCAAGCAAGAGCCAACTATTCAGCAAAGATCCTATTTTTCTAGAGGAAAAGTTGAAGACTTCTTTGGCACCAAGACAACATCATCGGCTTTAACAAGAGGTGCTTCTTTGGGACCTAAATGAATGAATCTTAAGTTTTAGGATTTAAGTTCTCATCATACGAAATTTGGAGGACCAGATCTGCAATTTTATCGTTGAAGAAATTGCAAAAAGAGGGAAGAAACCCAACGCGGGTGTAGTGCGGCACATGATTCACAGTATCGACACCATGTGTTCAACGTCGAAGATTCAAGTTTCCTATTCTTCTTTTGTCTCCATCTATTCTTAATCATTACTTAGCTGAAGAAACTCTGCTCTCGGACTTCATTGGAGAGACTCTATTTCTGGACTTCGCTGAAGAAACTTTACTTCTAAACTTTGCTGGAGAATTTGTTGCTGACCAATATCGCTGGACATCTTGGAACTCTATCGTCGTTGCCAACTCTCCTTCTCGACTTGGCTAGAAAACTTACACCTTCAGACTTTGCTGGGAAATTTGCTGCTGACCAACATCATTGGGCAGAACAAGACGGCCCATGGCACATAGCCTCTCGCACGTGAAACGGGTGCCGCCAAAAGGACCCTCCTCATCATTCATGGGTGGCATCCTAGTCAGCCTCCTCATCATTCACGTGTGGCATCCTAGTCAGCCTCCACATCATCACCACTGCTGACTCATCAACCTACATCACCAACACACCCCCAAACAATATTATAATATAAATAAGTAAAGTACAGCAAGAAAAAAAATCAAAATACAATTTGTATATAATTTTTTAATTATATTTTTATTTTACCAAAAAAATTCAAAAAATATATTTAACAAAAAATAAAAAGTAAAAATATTATCTTATTTAATTAAGTTATTTTATAATCCAATGATTTAATTGATTTGAAGGTAAAATTATAAACCAAACTAATTATATCAATTTTAAAATTTTATAATTCGAACCAATCCGTATTAATATCAATTTAAATTGAATTTTAATCAAATGAATCAGTTTGAATAAGATCAATGAATTTGAATTAAATATGAACAAACCTATTGTGTGTAGTGAGGTTTTGCCACCAAATTCTGAACGATCCCATCTTACATTAAGACCTTGTTAGGTTAAGGGAGAAAATTTTCCCATTAATTTCCCTTATTTGGATTTTTAGGGTTAGTTTGGTATTTTCATAAATTGATATTACAACAGAATAAAGGTAAAATTGGCATTTTATCAAGCATTTTACCTGATATAACTCCCAATAATTAAAATTTTTCTCTGCCCTTTTCAAAAGGAAAGCAGTTCCCCTCTACTTTCCCATTACGGAACTCACTTCACTATTACTTTACTTTTTCAACATCAATTTCTTATCAAAGACAAAAAAATTAACAATGCCAACAAAACTCAAATAAAATTTTATTATGAAACCTACAAACTTTTCATGCAAGTATTTTCAAACTTTTTTTACAATACTTTTTTAATTACTTTTTCAATAAGAACATTCCTAATAAAGTTGTTTCAAATGGGTGTTCTAAATGGTTAAGAACTTGTAATTTTAAATTAGAGATATCAAATTCAAACTTTGAGATAAGTGAGGAAGGATTAAAGTAAGAAAAGGTTTATCTCCTATTATATATAGCCTATCATTTGATATAACTAAAGGAAAAGGTTCGTTAGATTTTATATACATATACATATATATATGATGTTAATACATATCGGATTTGAAAACTGATTATATATTTTAATATAATCAGTTTATATGTTCTAATATAATCAATTTTTAAGTCCAAATATGAGTATTTAATAAGGTAAGTTTTTAAATTAGGAATTGAGTTTTAAATAAATAAAATGACATCATTTAATATTAAAATTTTAATTTATTTTAAAAATCGAGATTAATATGCACTTTTCCTTATATTAATGGAGAGCAACTCAACCAAGCTCTCATTAATGGTTAGGTTCTAGATAAAGCGGGCTCATATATTTCTTATAATTATACTTCTCTTCCAATATGTGTATAGGACTAAATATTATTAACAACTTAAATTTTTATTTTTAAGAATTCATGGATCTTTTACTTAAAAAGTTATTAGCTAGATTTTTGCTTTTATTGTTGAACAAAGTATCATTTTTTATTTTTTATTTTTGTCCAAATTAAGGATATGAGACAATTTATGTTTTGAAAAGAAGTAAAAATTAGGATATTCTAGCATTTAAATTGTTATGATTGTCAATAAATTTATTCAAACATCGTTAAGTTTTTTAGTATGTTAGATGATAACTTATATAATAAGAGATACCTTTAATATGAAATTTTAAACTTCTAACCATTGGAACTTCTTGCAATGGATATTCAAACATCCTTAATAAATTTTCATTGCATGTAGATCCATTATAGGTATTTAAGCCTAAGAAGGTAGATTTATTATAAGTATAAAAGCTTTTTCATAAGTAGTCTTGACTTTTTAATTATCAAAATATTTTAATTTTTTACAATCTCTTATATTTTTATTTATATTATCCTTAAAAGCATAAAAAATGAAGAGAAATTTTTTTCGATAAAAAAAACTATTAAAATTAACAAATAATAATAATGTTAAAGTAACATAAAAAAAATATGTCTTTTAAAATATAAAAAAATTGAAGTAATACTGAATTAAAAAAGAAAAAAGAAAAAAAGAAAAAAGGAAGACGTGCAATGGAGTAATTAATAATGGATGGGTTTGAGGGCAAGTCCAAAAACAGGATAACGGGCGAGGAGCGGAACAACTATTATTAATAGGGATATTAGGTAGTGATGATGAGTGATGCCATGCCGCCTGAAAATATGTAGTTTATGTTTAACAAATGGATAATGATTCAGAGATGATTTTTGAGGGATGATTTTAAGAGATGATAAACGTGAATTGTTATGTAGATAGATATTAGCCACTCACCACATAGACCAAATTAAATAATGAATCTGGATTATCATTAAAAAAAAGTAAAACTTTTAATTTTGTCAATATCAATTTCTCTTCCGTCTTCATCACTACTGAACCTCAACCCTAACTACCATTTGAATCAAAGATGAGGAAGAGGAGAACCAACCAAAACGAAGAGGAAGATGATGAGGATGAGACTTCAATTTCCTTCTACTCAATTTCATTCTCCACGCCCTTGCTTTTGCCTTTTGTTGGGTCCCACCCCTCTTCAAATATCCTACAAACACACTCTCCCCTTTATTATTATTATTATTTTTTTAATGACAAAAAATGATTAAATTAGATATTGATATTTTTTGCTGTTAAAAAAAGTCGAACCTTAAATTTAACTGTATTTTTTTTATTGCCCAATAAATAGTCTCATTTCTAATCTGTAAAATTCTAATTTCGATCAAATCACACATCGCAATATACTAGACCCTCTAATTCTTTAAGCGGTTTATCTAAAAGATTCGCGATATAACTAGGAAGACACTTCAAATACCACACATGGGTTACTGGGCATGCCAGTTTTATGTATCCCATTTGATATCTTCGTATTCGAGAATCCACAAATTCAACTCCGCATTGTTTGCAAAATTTAGGGTCCTCCTTGTCATTTCCAATTACTCGATAATTTCCACAAGCGCAAATTCCACCCCATGGGGGATTGCACTCTTCCTCTCATTATTAAATCTTCTTTAATCGGCAAATTCCCCGCATTTCTCTTCTCCACCCATCTTTCCCTCCATCATTAACCTTGGCCGGACCTCTTCATGACACCGAATCCTCTGTTGTTGGATCCACAGAGATGGACAGCAATGACGAAGATGAGTTCTTTTTGGGCGGGTTTCAATCGTCGACTCTCTCGCTCCTCGAGTCGAAAACTCGCTGTGCCGAGTTTCAACCTAGACAAGACTGAGGTAACTTTTGGAATCATTCATTCTTTAAGTTAGCAGCCGGACTTCAATGAGATTTAGACTTAGGAATTAAGTTAAACCCTTTTCCAAATCGTCTCCCCAAAGAAAAAAAAAAAAAAAGTTTCACGTGTCTATATTTACGTGGCAAATGTGCTGTGTGTCTATCCATGTGGTAAGTCACGTAGACGGTCCTTCAATTTCATCCTACAAAAATGGGTTAATTCAATTTTTAGTCTATTAACTATCACCTTAATTTCATTTTAGTCTAGAAACTATGTTTTATTTTTAAGTGGTCTATTAACTTTCGGATTCATTTCAATTTCGTCTACCTAGTTATCTTTGACGGAAAACTTACTATTCTGTTAAAGAACAGTTAGTCCTCTAACTATATTTGTTTTGATCTTTTAGTCCTCAAATTTATATTTGCTGTAAAAACAACTTTTATACTTAAAATTATTATTTCTAGGATCTGATATCAGATTTTTATTCAGGTTTTCAAAACTTAATTCAGACTACTACTAACTAATGAATAACTGATAATATGCTAAAAATAGAAACAATTAATGAAAATACCCTAAGAAGAATTAAAGAAATGAGAAAATCTCTTTTTCAAGAATTTGATTCTATTAAAGAAAGAATAAATAATTTTAAAAACTCTAGAAAATTGAAAGAAATAAAAGAAGAAATAAGGTTTATTAAAGACATTAAAAGCAATCGCTGAAAATTTTGTAATCAAATCATAAAAATGTATAACAGAATAATTCTACAACTAAAAAGTGATATAAATAAAAAATTTTATAAGATCTAAACACAACTAGAAAGTGATTATTTTTGGTAAGAAGCCAAAAAAACCAAGTCCAAAACAAACAAACCTAAAAAAACAACCAATCAATAAGTAAGAAGAAGCCGAAGTAAAATCCAAAAAACCGAAAAAAAAATCAAGAACAAAACCCAAAAAAAAAAAATTTAAAAAAAAAAAGTAATTTTAAAAGAAAAAAAAAATTGAAGAACAAAAAAACAAAAAAAAAAAAAATAAAAGAACAAACGGTCCCCAAAAAAAGAAAATTTCCCGCAAAAAAAAACAAGTAGATGAAATTGAAATGAATCTGAAAGTTAATAAACCACTTAGAAATAAAACATAATTTCTAGACTAAAATAAAATCAAAATGATAGTTAATAGACTAAAAATTGAATTAAGCCTACAAAAATCGTCAACTCTATCATTAACCTTAAAAAATTGAAAAAGGAAAAATCGGGTATTTTCATTTTGGGTAGCTGTTTGAGTTTGGGTGCGGGGTTGGTTTTAAGCTTCGAAGCCCAAACCCAAAACCAAATAACTAATTATCAATTGGGTAAAGAATTGCCAACTCGTTTAACCCAATATTGGCCTAGTTTGGCTCATGGAAATTACGTTTTTGTTTTGTCAAATTAAAAAAAAAAAAAAAGAGTTGAAATTAAGAATACGAATTTCTCAATCGTCCCTTCAGTAAAAAAATTATTTCATTTTCAAACCCAATACAGAGCTTGTTTGCTTCATGGTAATAACTATTCATTTATCAAATTATAAAAATAAGTTAAAATTGCAAAATTAGTATAGAGAATTAAGAATAATTAAGTCTTAGTATTTAATTTTTTATATTAACGAAAAAATTAAGAAATACTCATTTTAAAAAAAATAAAAAAATACATATTCATCATTCATTTTTTTAATTTAATAGATAATTATATCATTTCCAAACCTAATATAAAGGTTTTTGTGATTGATGGTGACTATTCCTTAATCAAAATATAAAAATAAACTGAAATTGAGAAAGCTGGGAGATAAGTAGAGATGCACCTTGACCAGGATTTTTTTTTAGTGGGGTGCGGCAACAAATTTTCTCTTCTATCACGTAATATAAATTATAAGATAGAAATAACATATAGGTAAATATACGTTCTGTTTAGTATGATTTGGGCTATTGATTTTTTATTTTAGTTTTAAAAAATTTGGTAATTATTGAAAACTAATGTTAAAAATTACCCTTTTTAGTTGGATTTAGTTATTTTATTTTCATTTTTGGATAAAGTTTGATAAGATAATTTTATATAATAAATAGATAACAATTAAAAAAATTTTCTTGTTATACATAATTTTTGTTGACTATCTCCATTTAAATCAAAAAAAATTTTCAATTTCCATTCATTTGCCACATAAAATCATCAAATTAATTTATATAAAGTTGAAGAATTGAACAATTAAAGAGGATTGGAGAAAGAAAAAACTAACGATTTGTTTAAGAATGAATTTTAACAATGACAATTAAAATCATAAACTTATTTAGTAATATTAAAATTATTTATATTTTTATTTCTCTAATAAACATATTAATATGTTGAAAATCAAACTTAAACTAAATAGAATTTTTGGTTTAATATTACAAAATTTATAAAAAAACATAAACTACAATAAACTAAGATTAGATAAACTAATATATTTTTCCTCTTTAACTCTATTTTTATCCTCAAGTTTATTTCTCTTTAAATCAATAGAATATAATTAAATACTTGAAGATGATAAATATAAATCCGTTGAAGCTCACATTAACTGTGTTCCAAATTAATTAACAATGAAAGAGATCAAGTTAATTAAATGCTTTTAATTTTTATGATACTAAGCTTAGTATCTAAAAATCACATTTTGACTAAAATGGAGTCGAACCAAATCAAATTCTATAAACTCTTATAGCACCTGATTTTTTATTTATAAAATTTAAATTTAAAATTTTATTTTAAGAAAATTTAATTTTTTTATTTAGATTAACATGTCATCCCTTAAAAACTTAATAAATTACTCAAAACCTAATATATAAAATAGAGTGCAGTAGAGATACTGTATCATTCTTATTGAGATAATTAATCGAATACTTGATTTGCTTAAAAAAAAGAAACTCTACACTTGGTATGACTTAACTCATTCTCCCCAGACTTTTTCAATTATGCTGCTATCAGTTACCGAATCACGATGTAAATAAATACAAGGCGTGCTGAGAAGAAAATTATAAATGTTTCTTTAATGATCAAATAAATATGAAAACTATCAAACATAAAATATACACCATATATTAAATTTCTTACAAAAATCTTAAGGGAGGCCATGGTCCCTCACCTAATAAGCCTTAATATCTAATTTTTACATTATTAAAGAATTAAGAAATACCAATTCTTTAAAAAAAATCGAAAGAATATATATTTCTCACTCATTCCTTAGTTTAAAAGAAAATTATTAATATTAAAGAGTAATTTGGCTTAGTGATTTGGGATAGTGGTTAACGATTTTTTTCTAAACCGCTATAGGATAGACATTTGGTTTATTTTTTTATTTCTAATTAAACTCTTATGAATTAAGTATTTAGTAAAATTTTTCATTTAGTAATTTGGAATTATTAAATAAAAATTAGGATCCAAACTATTAGTCGACTAAAAATGTTGCCAAAATATAACTTTTTATACAAAACCATTAATGGATTAAATTTTTTTAATTTTATTGATAAGTTTATCGATTTTAATTATTTAATCTTTTAGTAGCAGCTACAATCACTAATTATCTAATTATTTTCAGTTTCATTTTTTCTCTTTCATAATATTAAATAATTGTTATATTTTTATTTTTACATTAACATACCATCAAAAAAATTTATATTTATTTAATAAACAGAGTTTGCTATTTAATTGAAATAATTAAAAGTTTGTTTTATCTTTATTTAAAAATAATATAATTTTTCTTTATTAAAAGTAGAATGCGTGTATATGATTCACACTTATATATTTTATTTTATTTATTTATTTATTTTCTTGTTATTATTTTTATAAAATCAATAATTTAATATTAAAAAATATGTCCATAAAAAAAATAAAAAATAAAAAAATAAACTTAATTGATTTAAGCATGTCTTTATTAATTATTTAACAATGAATAACAATTACTAATTATTGTATAATAAAATAGTTACAACAATTACCATCCACCATCCACTATATGTTATTTGCTATTCATTATTTGTTATCCGTCATCAGCTAATAGCCACTACCATTATTCACTATCATTATTCACTATCCATTACCTGTTATTTACTAAATTTTAATTACTGTAGCAAACAAACCCTTAGATTTATTTATTTCAAATTTCTTAAAGAAGTTTTTAAATTTAACTTAATTTTATAATTTGAACCAAAAAAATTATTACCACCAACCAAAAATCACCTTTCATAGTGGTGATATTTTTGGCCCCTCTTACAAATTTATATATATATATATCATATGATTGACTGTACAAGAGAAGATAAAACTTCCCTTCCTTATCTCTTTCAACTTGCCTCAAGATTTGATTTAAGATTTTCAACTTAGATCTTAAGTTTTTAATCACTTAAAACATACTTTCGAGGCTCTCTTATAATTTTTATTAAGGGCTTGTTTAGTTAGAGTACGATTGTTTTTCTAGGTAGATTGTTTATCTGGTGGGTTATTTTGCAAGGCAAATTATGTTGTTGGGCAGGTAGTTTGTGTGAGATTTCTACATTTGGTTGCTTTCGAGAAATATTTCTTTTAGTAATTATAACCAACGATATTGAAAAATATAGGTGGTTATATTTCTCTATTACTTTTAAGTTATTTTTACAAAATAAAATATAATTGGTTATCAAGGAAAATATATCTACTTACAAGGTGAAATATAGCTAATTACAAAACTAAAATAATTGCTTATAAAGTGAAATGTAATCATTGCAAACTAAGATATAATTGGCTTACAAGACAAAATATAATTGGTTACAATCTAAAATATAATTAGTTACAAAATAAAATAAAACCCATTTTTATGACAAAGTCTACTATTAAAAAAAAATTCAATTACTCACTCTTTTGTTAGTTATTAAATAAATATAATCAATTATAGAAACTATATAATTGGTTATAAAAGTTTTTCAAGAAATTTATAAGGATATTTATGTCATTTCCTGCACTAAATGCCAAAATTTAGAGGGTAATTTTGGTATTTAGTTTCCCCTCCTCATGCCACTTGCGCGGGAAGGTTCTCTTCTCATAGTTTTGATGAAAGAAAAAAAAAAGAATGCGGGCTAAGTCCTAATTCTTCTTCACTCGGACAACGAAGTTTATTCCTAACAATTTGTTGGTCTGATCGAAAGGATTCCATTTTTTTTAAATAAAATTTTAAATATTAATTTTGTAAATGAAAAAATAAATAAGAGGATTTTTTTAATAAGATGTAACATAATTCAATTTTAAATTAATCAAAATTAAATATGATTATCGAATATTAAGAAATTAATAAATTTAAAAAAATTAAAAAACAAAGTTTACTGGTGAACTTTGAAGTTAAAATAAACTTGCTTGTTATTTCGCAAAATTTCAGTATACCAAACACCCCCTAAGTTCACTCATTGGTTCCCAAAATCAAATATGAGTTAAAACTGATGCGAATGCCTACCATATTGTTTAAATGTAGGCCCTATATACTAGCACTAAATGCGAAAGTGAAATTCCACGCAAAGAAGATAATTTGTATATGAAGCCATAATCACAAGCATTTCCATGGTGGCGCATTAACATTCACCTTTATTCTCCACCAACATTTTCTGGGAGATACTACTTCAAATTCAATCATGGTTTTTTCACATCTACATCAGGACCAAAGAATAGGATATTGGCATATTGTAGTTGGTTTGGCCTATGGTGCATAAGAATATTAAACTAAAAGGCATAACCAGAAACTCTTGAGCAGTTGATGCCATGATAGCTACTGCCATAAAAAAATATAATTTTTTAGGGTCAGGCGGCACAAAATACCAATTCATAGCTTTGTTTAGTGTTGCATAACAGATTCAGTAAGATACAAAGTACACGTATTTTGTGATGGTTGTTGTGGCATCAAAAGGGACTCGCAAGAGTTTTGAACATAGAACTTCCGAGTTGGATATTCAGTTCGAACCTTGGTAGACAGGAAAAGATTTAGAAAAGGGGACGTAGGAAACTCAAACCACAATACGCCAATATTAGCTCAAACTCAAATGCACCAATGAAAAACAAAAAGCAATCACACTCCCCAATTGAAGAAAAATAGTTAAGTAATATCCAAACCGTAAAAAAATATGGGTGGTTTAAACATTTTTAGCAACACTGTTAACAAAAGATTGAAAATGCAAAAGAGATTAGACCAACTGCTGCTTCGTGGCTTCCATTCTCTCCAACAAACCATCAATCTCAGCTTGCATTCTGAGCTTCATTTTGTAGTAATCACAGTTTGAATTTTCCAAAACCTTCAGTTCTTCCTGTTTCTTCCTCCGCCTATCCTCAGTCTCCTGTAAACACAATCTTGCGAGCTTCTCAGCATACTCTTCTTCCAATTTCTCAGTCCTCGCTTGGATCATCCTCTTATAACCTTCAGCATCTCTGCGAGCTTCATCTGCTTTGTCCTGGAACATTCTTGCTTCTGCTTCCTTTATCCGTATCATGCTTTCCAAGCTGTCAAATCCATCGTTCTGTGATAATCTCCCAAACTGGAATTCATCCTCAAATTTTAGTTCACTCATGAGTGCAGCCTTAAGGTCCTTTTGAGAGAAAGCATTTGCATTGTGAGCATTGTACTTTGGAAGAAGAGAAGTGGATGGTGTAATAGAAGCTTCATCTTTGGCAAGGCTAGCCTGAGTTATCATCATGTTCTTTGTAGATACACCAGAAACAGAAAGGTCTGTCATCCCATCAGTGTCTATTTTTCCAGGGGAGCAAAAACGAGTTAGACAAGAATATCATAGATTCATATTAATCGTTAATAATTAATTTAACAAGAAGCTGGAATAGAGAGAGAAGCAGAGCCCAAAATGATGTTCAAATTCAGTCTTTAACATGGCAGAGAATATATACTAGATTGGAAGATTGGAAATGCCATGGTTGAGAATATAAAGTAAAGACTAGATGATTGGAAATGCTAATACTAGGCCAAAATGATGAACCTAGAAGAGATTGCATTTCCTAAAAGTCACAAAGCTCTTAGATTTGAGAACTGTGAAATTAGGCTAAACGAGGGGGACATGCTTTGACCTAATATAAGTGGGATTTAAGAACAATCTAAATTACATTGGAGCCAAGTGTTAGATAAGCTCATTAAGGGCAGAATATGAAAGTTGAAAGCAACAATAATCATGATGAACTTTCCCCTCGAATTGGTAGCTTAAGAATGAAATCTACCCAAATAATTCACACAATAAGAAGATATCCAACAAATATAAATACTTAAATAGTGGCCAATTTATATACAAACCAAAAACATGTACGTGAAAGATCTTTTAGACAACTTTGTTTTTGATCATACAGAAAATTTAAAAAATAAAAAAATAAAAAATAAAAAATTTCTTTAGAGAACAGGTTACCTACATACGTTTATCTTCTGAGAAGGGATTAACTATATAGTTTATTCAGGTAAGGTGTTACCCAAGGAACAAATGAAAGCTTTAGATGGTAAAGAGTCAAGCAACCAATCTTATATCCCGCCCATCTTAAACTAAGGCCCCAAATGACCAAAACATTAGATGAGCCGTGCAAACTTGCTGTACTGGATACCTAGGGAAAGAGACTGAATAAAAGATATTCGGATTCTCATGGCTTTACAACACGCAATTTATCTACATGTTTTTCATCTCTGTAACAGTACAGAAACAGAGGCTTTCTGTGATACAATAACTTTCAACCACAACATAAAGAGTTCAAAAACACTAGGAAAAGGAATTTAGGATTGAAAGTTAACAAAGTATACCTTTTTTGAAGTTGGTCTATCAAGTTTGACATTCTAATGTTTTGACATTCTAATGTGATCAAATGAGAATCTTATGAGAATTTAGGGCTTTAGAATTGACAGATGAAATGGCATACTGTTTTCAGAGTTCATCTCTCAAGGTTGACATTCTATTCTAATGTGATTACATAAGCATCTTATTAGTGAACTAATATTCCCGATGATCCTTACATTCTCTTCACAGTTCTATGTACCATAGACACTACTCTAAACAATAAATAGCAAACCGATTGAAAATGAAGTGTCTTAAGACATGAAGTTTCTAGTATAATTGAACCTTTCCCAGGCTGTATAGAATAAAAGATTATCCTGTGTAACCAAAAGAGTTCATATTTAGGCTTATGCAACATGGACATCCAAAAGTAGATGAGCAGAACATTAACCACAACGAGATACAGCTGTGTTCCATGGAATTATTCCAACATGGTCTCATTAAAAAGAGAAACTTGCATAGAAAAGATAGCGATAGCAATATAAAGGATACTTACAGTTAAAGAACTGAATAATGATATTGCAAGCATCTGAAGCAGGCATCATTTTACTTTCCAGTTTGGTGAGCAACTCATCAGCTTTAACATGCAACTCCTTGCCTTTTGAATCATCACTACCCCTAAAAATCTTCCTGACACAATCAAGCTCCTTAATCAGTGTTTCTAGACCCCAGTCCTTTGCGCAGCATACAAAGACATCCTTCACAAACCCAAACATTTCGGAAGCATGACCACATCCAATGCAATGAAACTGCATTTCAGTAATCCCAGATGGTCCTTTCAAGCTAGGACCTGGCTTAATCAAATTCCTCTGAAGACCACAGGCGGCATGACACCAATGAGAACAAGCATCACAACCGACCCAACTGCAGGTATTGCTAGCAGAATCAAAACTCAAGCAGACAGGACACATACAAGAACTGCAAAACCCCTTATTACCAGAGCATATCTTACAATCACAATCATCGACAGGCAACAAACTCTTGCAATTCAGGTTCCTACATCTCATGAACAAGAAAATCTCTAACAGCTCAGTCGTGGGAAGCCTGTCTTCTTCAGATAAGAAACTTTTAAGGCCCATTTTAATTGCAACCATAATTTCTAGCTGTTCCTTTTGGCACTTTGACAGAGTCTCCTTAGTAAGATCAGATCTTCTCTCCAGCCAGTTTTGAAGAATCACTAATTCTTCCCTCTTCTCTGGCGCTGCTATAATTTTCGTCAAGTATTCTTTAGTAGCTTTCAGTGTGTCATCTGATAGCTCCTGTATTATCTGAGCCATAGCAGGTATAGCTTCCAATACAATCTCACGAAGAATTCTCTCTGGACTAGAAAGCTTTCTTCCTCTCCCTGCATCCATACTCTCCAAAACCCTCAAATTATCAGAATTCCTCCTCCTTGAATCCCCTGAAAGATCGTCTATGCGTGGCCTAGCTGGCAATTCAGAAGGGAAAAATGAATGATTATCTGAACTGGTAGTTTTCTGAAGAGAAATCCCTCCACCACCACCACCACCACCAGCAGGATTGGCCAAAACCACTGCATCTCCAATTGGCCTAAACCTACTATGAACAGATCCGTTAGTCCCTTCACCACCACACCAAAGTTGATCATCCCTCCCAACAGAGTACTCATAATTTTCAGTTGAATTTCTGGTCAAAGAACAACTAGGATTATGCGAAAAGGGGTGAGAATAAGAATATGACAATGAAGCAGCAGTGAAATCATTGGAACAGGTTGTCTGTGTGTTCATTGATTGTGGCAGAGACTGTACACTCCCACAAGGCTTTGACCTAATTTGGGGATCACCATTTTGCAAAGCATTTGATGCAGTGAGAGAGAGGGACACATCAGGCAAAGCAAGGGACAGATTAAGAGTCTCTAACTTAGGCTTCTTCTCCCTACTGCTGTTATCCCTTTCCTCAAACTCTTCATCTACCTCTCTTTTGGAAGAATTCCCTCTACTTCCACTCAAATTCAAGAAATCCCTCTCTACCCATTTCTCATCTTGATTCGGATTCTCAGAAACAAGAACAACTTCTTTCCCTTTCTGGCTGATATTCCCATTCTGAGGCAAACCCAGTTTGGGATTGTCACAGAGGTAGCTGAGAGTCAACTCCTGAAACCCAGAATTCCCAGGCTTTGTTGACGATCTAGAAGAGGAAAACCCAACAAGATCCATCTTCGAGTTTGACCCTCTAAAAAAACCCATACCCTTTTGAGAAAAACCGATTTTCTCTACAGGGTTCTGACCCTTTTCGTCTCCCTTACAGGGGAGATCACTCGAGAGGTCTTTCTCTCCAAACATAGCCTTAACGGAGAGAGAAAGAGGAGACTTACCGAAGACAGGGAAACAGGAGGAGACGACGCCAAAGTAGAAATGGAAGGGCAAATCGGAAAAATGGAGAGAATCTGAGGCTGTTTTGGTTTTTTTCTACCTTTTTCTCAGGTCATTCTTTTGCTTTTAGCAGCACCCCATCATCGCCATAGCCTCTGTAACAACGGCTGGGTTCTCATTTTTTCAAGGCGTTTACACTGTATACCAAAACGGCTACGCTTTCTCTTTCTTTTCTTCACACCACTTTTCCAGTTTTCTTTTCCCTTCTATGTATTATTATATGGATTTCTCTGTTCCGTGCAAACGTTTTAAAATTTATTAATTAAGACATTTTTAATTAATTTTAATAAAATTTTACACCAAATTTATAATTTTTTATAAATTTTAAAATAAAATATTATATTATATTATTTTTTATACTTTATACAATATTTTATTTAAATTTTGTAAAAAATTTTATATAAAATTTTTTACAAAATTTAAATAAAATATTGTATAAAGTATAAAAAATAATATAATATAATATTTTATTTTAAAATTTATAAAAAATTATAAATTTGGTGTAAAATTTTATTAAAATTAATTAAAAATGTCTTAATTAATAAATTTTAAAACGTTTGCACGGAACAGAGAAATCCATATAATAATACATAGAAGGGAAAAGAAAACTGGAAAAGTGGTGTGAAGAAAAGAAAGAGAAAGCGTAGCCGTTTTGGTCTACAGTGTAAACGCCTTGAAAAAATGAGAACCCAGCCGTTGTTACAGAGGCTATGGCGATGATGGGGTGCTGCTAAAAGCAAAAGAATGACCTGAGAAAAAGGTAGAAAAAAACCAAAACAGCCTCAGATTCTCTCCATTTTTCCGATTTGCCCTTCCATTTCTACTTTGGCGTCGTCTCCTCCTGTTTCCCTGTCTTCGGTAAGTCTCCTCTTTCTCTCTCCGTTAAGGCTATGTTTGGAGAGAAAGACCTCTCGAGTGATCTCCCCTGTAAGGGAGACGAAAAGGGTCAGAACCCTGTAGAGAAAATCGGTTTTTCTCAAAAGGGTATGGGTTTTTTTAGAGGGTCAAACTCGAAGATGGATCTTGTTGGGTTTTCCTCTTCTAGATCGTCAACAAAGCCTGGGAATTCTGGGTTTCAGGAGTTGACTCTCAGCTACCTCTGTGACAATCCCAAACTGGGTTTGCCTCAGAATGGGAATATCAGCCAGAAAGGGAAAGAAGTTGTTCTTGTTTCTGAGAATCCGAATCAAGATGAGAAATGGGTAGAGAGGGATTTCTTGAATTTGAGTGGAAGTAGAGGGAATTCTTCCAAAAGAGAGGTAGATGAAGAGTTTGAGGAAAGGGATAACAGCAGTAGGGAGAAGAAGCCTAAGTTAGAGACTCTTAATCTGTCCCTTGCTTTGCCTGATGTGTCCCTCTCTCTCACTGCATCAAATGCTTTGCAAAATGGTGATCCCCAAATTAGGTCAAAGCCTTGTGGGAGTGTACAGTCTCTGCCACAATCAATGAACACACAGACAACCTGTTCCAATGATTTCACTGCTGCTTCATTGTCATATTCTTATTCTCACCCCTTTTCGCATAATCCTAGTTGTTCTTTGACCAGAAATTCAACTGAAAATTATGAGTACTCTGTTGGGAGGGATGATCAACTTTGGTGTGGTGGTGAAGGGACTAACGGATCTGTTCATAGTAGGTTTAGGCCAATTGGAGATGCAGTGGTTTTGGCCAATCCTGCTG